ATTATAACTGATTAATCTGGTAAGAAGAACTGGGTTTCTATGACTATCTTGAGCTAACATTGTTGTGGAGACTTTAAATTTATATACAAATAGATGATGAAGAGATTAATAGGCCGTTCTCACCAGAAGACAATAGCTGATTCCTCTTGTTTTGCAATTGTTTGGCTTTACTACGACGTTTAGGTTGGCGCAGTCCACGAGACATGCCCCCTCGTTTCGGGTAAAAAGAGGCTAAGCTTTAGTTCGTGATATGCCAGGCATCGTTAGATTTGGAACTCATTCTTGCAAAAGCTTTGGGTAAACAAGTAAGAAAAGTCAACATGCTAACACACGAGCACGCACATAGAGGAACTCAAGTATATGTATCCTGATTAAAATGAAAAAGAACCGAATTCTATAGCTACCCATCTATATATATGTATTTTCATTTTTTGATATGAATATATATATATATATATATATATGGCATGTAGGATAAGCTCGTAAGCCTTTCGACTTAGTGACAATCTGAAGCTTTTCACCCGAAACTAGGGGCTGCGTCAACCTGAAAGTCGTATTAAGGCCAATTGGCGACATAAAAACTGAATTCAGCCGTCGTCTTTTGATGAAATCGACCTACGAGTCTTTTCATCAAGCACTTTCATACAAAATAGAACTGATTCATTTGTCATTAAGTCTAGCCCTACTTTGCATTCCAAAAGTTATATTGCATATTATATCTAGCAAAGGTCTTAGGGGTCGAGGTAAGGGGGCGATGCATTACCTTTTGGTTCACAAGACCTGGTTCCGAATTTTATTGGTATGTACAACGAAGGGATTCGTAGGTCGATCTCATCGGAAGACGTCGCTGATGTCCATTATTCTGCAATTGTTTGACCTTAAAACGACGTCGAATTTGGTGTATTCCACGAGACATGTTCTTTTGCTTAGTGTCAAAATGGGCTGATGTACGCCATTAAAGCTGGAACTCATTCTTGCAAAAACCCCAAATTAGCACCAAGCTAAGAAGACCATTCTGCTCCATTTTGCATACTATATATAGTCTACTAAAATGGAAAGATAGATATAGAATAATTTGATTAATTCTCTTTCGTATTAATCGAGGTACCTATGCTTGAGTGTGCGTCTGTACCCGTGCAAGTAAGAGTGCGCAATATCGGTTATACCACAGAATAGTAACAAAATAGCCTAACTTGACGCCCGAATAATCAAGGTTTGATTAACTTTTCATGAACCTTAGCGGATATTGAACAACGACCATCAGCCACCACCTTCCGATGAGATCGGCCTACGAATCATAATGCATTTTCATACGAAACGAAAGTCTCTGGAGCATTGTAATTCTCAAGACATTTATGAAACATGATCATCCTCAGTAAGTAGGAGTTCGATTTTTCAAGATACTCTTCTGTAGAGATTTAGGTCTATGCAAAACTCATTACTCACACAGATACACATACATACATATATGTGCATATAGATTTTTTTAATTTATCCTCTCAAAGTGGGCTAGTTCCGTCAGGCTACGGCCTCAGTCTTCTATAGTCTGCACTATCATAATGGATCCTGAAGTGGCACAGACACGACCTTACTGTGGATCACTGGGCTGGCTTGGTGACACAAGGGTGTGGTACTAACTTCTGGGTTTGAGGTCAGCTAACTCTGTTCGTCTGGCCAAGCTGGGTGGGGCCGGCTTTGCATGTGGCCAGCACAGGGTTTTTCGTGCTGAGTCAGCCTCAGGCGTCGGTTGGAGCATACAAACGAGAAATGAATAATGCGACTGGCTTAACCGTTGAGACGTTGATATATGGCAGATGATCTATATATCACCTGTGTAGAACTTTAGACGATGTAGGCGTGACGCAGACGTAACTTTGTTGATTTGTCTGTCGGTCAAGTCCATTTACAGGACGAGGTTTTATAGACCTGGGCTACAAGAAGTCGGCTTGGGCGCGTGTATGCAGACGCTGGTCTCAGACTATAGTTGGTCAATAGCATTACTTAAGACGGTGACGACAGCGGAATGAATGTGTTGGTAGACATGTCCGGGGTTTTAGTACCACCACTCCAATATATGGCTTTGTCATAGTTAGTTGCCATGACACATTGTATAGCTTGAGTATGCACTAAAATAGTACACTCAAGTCATTTGACCCTTTGAGGGCAAGTAACTAATGCCTTAATGAAAGTATGTATCCAATTCTAAGAATTGTCAGCCCAGCCTGAGTTATGCTGGCAATCAATTGTGCTATAGAAAAGTCTGCGAAGGATCTTATCGCCCTCGTTAGAAAAATTGTTACTATTTTAGCCACCTCAAAATGTTGCATGAATCCTGATAGAAATTTCCACTTTAATTTCATTAGTGTTATTATGCCAGCTGAGTTTCGCGGGCCTTTTCTGGGCCTTGACTTTACCAGTTTGTACAACAAGTTGGACAGGAGTTGGTTTCAACTGGACACAAAAGCAGGTTGGTTTGATTTAATCCTAGTTTGAGTCTCTCTAGGAGGGTCAGTTATTTCGACCTCGTTCAGCTATCAAAGTAATTTATTCTGAAATTTAAGGGAGATGGAAGAGTTGCCATTCAGGAAAGGAGGTGTATTTTTTGTATAAGCTCCACTTTGTTTTCACAACATGGTCACATTGGCAGGAAGAACTAGAGAAACGTGCCTTGTCTGGAGTCCTTAGTATGTATGACAATTTCTAGAGTCGAACTGTTGACGTGGTACATTCCCAGACGTTTCGCCGTCATCGTCAGTGGGCCTTGCCACTCTTAGCACAACGATACAACTTGTCAAAGGGAAAAGTGAAATCGATCCTTTGGCCAATTGTCTGCTAAACGGTTGTGGTATTCCTTCTCTCCTGGAGTATTCACCTACCCTATATCCCCGTATCACCCTTTTAATATCACAATTTCTTACATGGTTCTTTAAATCTAGTTGAGATATATTCACACTCACCGCCGGCTCTAACATCCCATTAGTGTGCTGGGAGTGTTGAGCCAAGGCCGCGGTTTAATCCTCAATCCTTTCCCTTCGGGTCCTATCACAACCTCCCTCTTGCTCAGTAGGCTCCCTCCCTTACCCCCCTCGTGCAGTGACTTCACTCTATCACTGCACTCATAGATATGGTAGATCTATGCTACTCGAGGCGTTATGTTCTACTCTCAGCCTCGATCCTGTGATAGAACGTACTCGCCAGCCCCACTGAGCAAGCCTCTAAAGTCTAGTTTGTCAATTGGCATAGCAACCTAACTTGACACTGCAGGTTCCCTTATCACTGGCCCCCATATGCACCGAGTAAATCCCGCAGTCAAGCCCTTACTTTATGGGCCAATTCTATTATCAACCTAATAGCCAACTATCAATGGTCTCCGTCGCATCTCACGCTTTCCTATCCCTAATGCCGAATCTCTGACTTTCTTATACCCTAGTCTAGTGGTTCCCAAACTTTGCCTAGTCGCAGCGCCATTTTTTAATTACAATTTTTCCATGGCCCCCTACCCTAAGTATGACTATTCCTACGTAAGAGATAAAAATAAATAAAACTAGTGTATCTTCATTATTTTTTTTTAACTATATTAACATTAAATTAATATTTAATAATTAATGTGATGGATGAGCCCGCAAATCACTGCGCCTTTTCTCAAATTGAAGCTTTTACAATATTTCGCTGCGCCTCTGTAAAGAGGCCGCTGTCCTAGTGTCTTGTGTACCGACTCCAAGATGTGTGTGGAGTGTGAATATTTCTCAACTAGGTTTAGAAATTGTGATATTGAAGGGATGGTACGAGGATATAGGATAGGTGATTACCCCAGGCAAGAGGGAGAGATACCACAAAGATTTAGCAGACAATTGATCGAAAGGTCGACTTTACTTGTCGCTTTGGCAAGTTGTAGTGTGGTGCTAAAACTGGCAAGGCTCACCGACGTGCCGGGGAAGCGTTTGGGAATACACCAAATCCGCCGACCGACTGAAAGTTATCATGTATATTATTTACTCCGGACAAGGTGCGTTCCTCTAGGTCTTCCTGCCAATATGTCCAGGTTGCGAAAATAAGGTCAAACATCTATACAATGAAGGAGGCGGCGACCATACTTAAGGCCATCTTGGTCTTCTTACCTTCGATTGTAGTGGGCTAGATCTAATTTTGTGTCTTAGACATCGCAGCTTTGGTCAAGATGCATTTTAAAGAAGGCCTCATGTTTTCATTGCATTTTTTTCCTATGCATCCAAAAAGACATCTCCTAATTTCGACCTCGTCTCATTCTCTCATTTAATAATCTTGAGTTGAGTGGTTATTCAATTCACTATGTTGGTCCATCGAAAGTGTTATGCCCCTACAGAAATCATACTCTTGATAGTAGCTAAATAAAACCAATATTAATTATAAAACGATATAGCATCTCATCCAAAATATAATAATTGAGGCTCGTGAATGTTCGATATTAGAAACAAATTATTAGATGGAATAAGTTCTTTTGTGCTGTATGGAGGACCCTTTTGCTTAAAAAAAGATTCAATAACTTCTTTTCATAAAATGATATTTTGCTTTTCATATATTAATTAACGTGTCAACAGAATAACATATTTAGAATGATAACTAGTGCGATAAAACCCACTAATGATTGTAGGCTGGTCCAGGACTTGAGAGTTGACGATAATGCTGAAGTCCAAACCAGCCATCCCACTCTTCATCTACGAGTGGCAAATTATCATCCTTGTGAACAATAATGTAGACTCCACGACCCTCAGGAGGCGAACTCGTCTCCCTCTCTTCTGTCGGACTGTGTGGTCTGCATACCGCTTGGTGTAAAGTCTTTTCTTTTCTGATGTGCACTTTGCCTGGGGGAGAAATTTGTCGAAGTTTTGTCTTGGATTAATGAGTGCGTGCGTGTAAGTATGACAAAACCAAGGCCTCGTAAATGCATAAGTCGAACGGATTCTAGTCTGTCTAATTCCTCCATCGGATACTGTATTTCCTCAAGACTGTCTACAATAGACTCAATCATTGAGGTATCCATTGTTCATGAGCGATCTCCAGCAGGAAATCATAGTACGTGTCCAGAAGCTGATGAGTTGCTGCAACTCATTATTGGGCAACCAAAATACATTTTTTGTTGTAGAAGCTTGCATTTCGTTGAAATAGGCAGTTGATCTCTCTAGAAATTGAAGGAGGATTTGCTCGTGAATTTGTGGACTGTTCAGTTGTGTGAATACCTCTTTGAGCTCCGCCCCGAGACCCCAATAATTTTGTGCTGAAGGTTGTTCTGCCTCGCCTTGGCAGTCGTTGCCAGAGAGTGCAACCATCCTTTGGGAAACTTTTTTAAAATTTTATAGCAAAAGAGGTGAGTTGCTGCGATCTTACAAACTTCACTTAACCCAATCTTCTCCATTTAATGAGACATTTCTTTATTTGCTTAGTTGTTGCTTGAGGATTTTTATATTGGCCTCATCGGAAAGCAAACGAAGGTTATCTTTAGGTTGTAACTACTGGATTGTGTAAAGAAGATTTCAGCTTCCTTCCTGTGGCTCCGATGAACCCTGGTTGACCTTTCGATTATCATATGGCATACATCATCAGAGCCAGAAACTGCCTTGTATGAAAAATTCGCCTCAGTAAGATTTCGTAGTTAGGCCTAAGATGTAGGCGGGATTTAAACACACCAACTTTATTGGTTCAATGTTTTGGTGGAAAATATTTCAGCAAATGATAGCTTTTGGCTCTGACAATAGCTGTCATGGAGTGACAGGCGAAAACTCAGCTCAACTTTATTGGTGCTGCAAGCTGGTGAACCGAGGTATTCTTCGCCCAATCCGGCAGTCACTACTTTTAGTCAATCCTTCTTCAGTTATCGGTGTGGCCAATTTACAAAGCTCTACAATCCACCTTTTCAAACTAAATGAAAGCATATGTTGGAGTACCTTTCATTTCGGTAGTTGAATTTTCGCACAATATTATGAGTAAACATGACATTTTGACTGAATTTCACATATCCTTGCTTTCCTAAAAGGTATTCTCATCCAAACAGAAATAGACGGCAGTTTTGACTTCGCCTAGGTCTTAGCAGTACCCCCAGCGGGGCTCGAACCATGACGATGTAGCATATAATCTCGATACATTAACCACTACTCCACATTGCAACGGGTGCTCGTGGATGACAGAGCAATT